CTCCAATAAGGAAAGAGTTTCAGCGTAATTTGTAGAAAGTAATGGCCATTGAGATTCAGAAAATCCAAGGGAAATTTCTTTAGAAAACTCAAAGCCGTAATTTGTGGAGATCGAGCTCGAAAACTTGTGGACGCTCACAAGAGATTGAGCGCACTAGCACGATAACACTCGTTGGACATATGCATTACACATCTGTTCCGTTTTCGATCGAATCATATCGACATTCGACAATTTACATGACAATATAAACCAAATTTCTCTTTCAGATATGCTCTAGATATAGGATCGAATGTTTGGAAAAATCAACTGTTGTAAAGTCCAGGTTTTCGGACAATCGCGGATAATTTAAACTTAGAAAAAAACATTCATCCAAATAAACCTTCCCAGAATTAATCTCTCCTAATGTCGGTAAGGCATATAAGAATTTGTTTACTTTTGGACTTTCAAAATCCTAGTTCCAAAGTAGTTTTCTCTGAACGCTCTTCAAAAGGATCTCGAACATTACTCAAATCATAAACACTAAAACTTGCATATTCTGCTAGTTTCAATTTCACATCGCTTATGCAAGGGTAAATAACTTACCTTTGCTGCGCAAATCAAACAATCCCATTTCACCAATAGAGTTAGCGGCTAAAATATGGTTGTCCTTGTAGCAACGACTGATCGCAGTGATCGGCACATCCATAAACGAAATCTTTTTCACTGGACGCCGTTGTGCGCGAGGATCGTACAATCTCATCTAAACAGTACAGAACCCTTGACATAATCGTTCCAAGCAAACTAAAGCATGAGATCATTGTGACTTTAACTTATTTGAGCTATGATAACAACTTCGCAACTTTTTGAAATTGTAGGCAGTAGCAAAAAGTGCCATCATCAAAAACAGGCAAAAAAACTGAACAACTTCTCTACTGACCCTAAATTAACAATGTTATTCACATTAGTTCAATGGTCATCAAAAATCTGATATCCCTCTCTCTCATCTCTCAATTACGATTCTAGCACTGCACGGATACTTCAGAACATAAAATTTTCATTTTTCCAGAATTTAAAAATCAGTTCCTACACTCTGATAATTCACCGTAGTTCTGACACAAATATCGAAACCTCTCTCTGAACCTTCTATTGAGAAGGAATATCAAGGTTAAATATCCTCGACACTATATCATACCAACTTGGGGAGAGGGGGAGAGGAAGGTTATTGTAAAGTCACAATATATATTATAGATCGACGTAAGAGATGGGATCAATGTATTTGAGTCGTTCTGCGTACTTCATGAAGTTTCGTAGCCTCTAGAATT